CACTTAAGACAGATAGGCTCGAATGCTTGCCGCGCGGTAGTGCGTTGGGTCCAGAGCAAAGGATGTGGGCTTCTTTTGGTTGTGTTCACGTCAGAAGGTGACTAGCCAGAGGGGCGTAGCTAATCGTCAGGTTTTCAGGTGATGTGCCCCAGGTGACAATTTGGCTACTGGTGACAATTTAGACAGTGTCAAATTTCGTCGGTGACAGAAAGGGACTTTTCTACCCTGCTTTTACTAAGCATGGTCAAAGTGTCGCGAAGTACTCATTGGATGAATATTGGCAACAATCATGGTCAGAAATAAGCTTAATTTCCATCGGCTGGGTCATAACGCATCCTCTGTACACAGTCACCAACCCGCGCCTTTGCCAACACGATAGTCCGTTTTTCTCCTCCATCAGTAACAGTCAAATCCATGGCGCTGCCACACTAAACGACCAGATATTCCCGCCCCACGCTCTTCGAATTTCACGATCTAAACTATTAAATTTCCGTCTACATTGAATGGGGAGGTGAAATCGTGGCAACAGTGCAGCGCTGCAAAATTGCACTACCTGATCAAACAACTTATGTTTCAAATGACTCAAAAATATTAGAGCACCACCTTGCAAGAATAAAGCTACTAAACTGAACATTTCATGACGGGGCAATCAGAAGCTACGACGATATAAGCCAGCACCAGCTTGTCTGGGCGGGTCACTACAGCCACAAGATCTTCGTTTAGACACGACCTTAAGACTTGCTCGTTCTGTGTCACCGCTGGAAATCATGGCAATGTGATATCGAGTTAAGCCTTGCTATACGGCTCGGTTGGCAATCAGGCCTCACCGATTCATACCAGGCCAGTCATTTCGCTTACATGACGTCATCGACTGGCAGTTCCCAGACGACAGCAGGCAGGTGTTGTTGTATGCGGTTCTGAATCATGTCCGTGAAGCCTGCCATTAGTGCCTCGGGACTGCTGTGGTAGTTGGATGGGTCGCTTCGCAGCTGCTCCGAAAACGAACTAGTGTTGGCACCACGGAATCCCTGACTGGTGGCTATCTGAAACACCCGGCACGCATAAGCTTTATGCGTTTTAGCGTCCTTCTGCATGTAGGCGTGAAGAAATGAAAAATTGAAAACATCAAAATGTCAGGTAGAACCACATCCACCATGTGTTGTAGCGACTTGTTTCCTTCACTTGGCGACAGCACAACCCGCTTCTATCTACTTCAAAATGCGAGGAGGCAGCGATGCGTATCAACGTGTGATCGTGCGTACCTTTTTCATTTCGCCCTCAATCCTTTCCACTTCATCCAAGCCCATCTGATGGATCTCCTCCGCCGTGAGTTTTGTCGAGGTGTGATACCGGAGACACGCCTCGTAGAACGCCGGCCCGTTGGGCAGTGACGTCACAGCTACCTCCTCCCTGGTGTTCGGCAGGTATTCCGACTCAACAAAGTCCGCTGAAAAGAAATGCACTTCGTGTGTAGTTCTGGTGGGGGCAGCATTCGTCGCCAACCCGGGGTATTTTGAACAGTTTTGTGCGGCAGTTGGTTAATTCGTGGAATGTTGCTTTCCGATCGGTGTTGACCGCTACTGAATGAAAAGACTCACTGATCGCCTTTGAAACCCGGGATGCGTCTATGCAGCAATTATGCATAAACGTGTCGTAATAACTGGAACATACCGTTGCCAATGAGAAATGGACTAGCTGTAAGGTGTTGTTCCCAGTTGAAATATGCGGAAGGCAGCTTCCCGTATTGCCATCACCAATGCCAGTTAGCTGTGAAAAAAGCAAAAGGCCAAGACGTCCCACTCCGTCAGTTGCCTCGTAATACCTAGCTTCAGCAGATGACCGATAACTTCAATTTGGACAGCCTGCCGCCCTTTCATCTGCAGCTCAGAACGGACCGGATCCCGAATTTCTTCAGGCATCTTCAGGAACGGCGCGAAGTAGCTGGAGTCGTCAAGGGAGACGTTCTGTGCCGCAGTTGTGCTGGCAGTGTCTCCTGGTGGAGCGAAACAGCATGGTTGGTGCTTGGAACGACTCAGAAAGAGCGCGCTGGTTGGTACTTGGAGCGGCTGAGAACTTGGGTAGAGTAGAGCGCATTTCCGTGCAGGGCTGGAAGGATATGCTTCATTCGTAGCTTCGTTGTCTGGGCAGCCCACTTAGCCTGAGTGATCATCGCATGTCAAACAATACAAAGAGAAGGGATAGACCTCCAAGTGCAGCACCGGCCAGAACGGGAATCAGACGAGTCCGCACATGGCAGCCCCCAGGATCACATTCCATACCGCTTATGAATTTATGACATGCATTGATACGTGCGTTATTGGGTGCTCGGAGCTAGAAATTCCAGGACAGACACCACACAATCACAATAAAATGTGCCCTTTTCGTTTTTCATCGCAAACTGCTAAAGCTTGTACCCCTCGCCTCTTCTGTGAAATACTACTTACTTCCCTGATAGTAATGACGTCATTGTCATCATCTAGCGTACCTTGGTTTATCCCAGTTTGATAACACACATTGCTGATGCAGCTCCAGAAGCACTGATGTATTCACGTGTCTAACATAGTTCGTTCGAAAAAGATTTAAGACGCGGACCTAATCACTTGTGCCCCGAAGTTGAATTGTAACGCATGGGTACTCGTACGTTGCAAGTTCATACACTTCTGCTATTATTGCCCATGTTTTTACAGTTGCGAATGTATGTTTGTCATTCGAACGCTAGCATTTATTATTCCTATTGCGGGAAGAAATGACATCCAACACTGTGCGTGATTTATGATCGCACATGCAGCAAAAGTGGCATTTTCACCCCAAAAAGAACTAAAAAATGGGGCCGCAAAATCTGCGCCTCCTGTGGCGTACTGTTGACTTTCGCTTTGCCTGTCTCGTTATATCGATTTGCTGTCGATTTAGTCTTTGGAGGTAAAGTCGCTCGAGTGCAGACTATTGACTGCCGGAGTTAGTCGTTTTCCGTCGCTCGGTCGGTGCAAGGGACGCCACTGCGGAGTTGGGACCTACCCAGCCCAAAGCACGAATAAGGGCGCGGGTCCGGTCCTTGGGTGCAGCGAAATGAGTGAGCACAGGTTTCTAGTAATGTGGCGAAGGCAGGTGAATGCGATCTGCGCACAACTCGGAATTTCACCTTTTCCATCGCGTTTGTAAGTTCAGTATATATTATGACAACATGTCTAGGCTTATTGCCCGAAAGTTGCAATTTGATATGCATTATAACACAACTATCACTAAACCATAGACATTCGGCGATTTTTACCAGCTTCAATGCTTATATATCTAATTAGCCAGCTACATATGTATCAGGCACGCTCACTCAAAAACGAAGGCCAAAAAAGGTCTTGCAGGAACAATTGCTATCCAATGAGTGGTGACGTCATGTACCTACTTATTTTGGATTATTTGCCTGTGCTATACAGCCGCAATGCTACGAGTTGGCGCACACAATATTATGCATGCTATGTCGTGCGATGCAATTTTTTTTTTGCGTGGTGAATGATTTGTTAGTGAATTACATTTTAAGGACATGCTCTGCCTGCATGCGAGTGTGAAATCAGCTTTAGGTGAGGTCTGAGTTAAATCTTATCTGTAGATACCAGCCACCTGGGAAGGGTTGTACATAATCACGTCTAAAACAGCACAGATCTGATATAAGGAAGGATTATCATAGATTGTTCGGCGCCGATTTGCCTTTGGTGGCACTCCTCCCCATCCTCTTCCCACAGAGATCAGCAACGACTGCGCAGATAACATCATAAATAGCTATCTAAATTCCCCAGGCGCTTTTGCAAAGAGGCTTCTGACAACTCTCCCTCCGAATCATTCATGCAAAAGACAGTGTTTTTAACTGCTTATGCACCTGGAAGGCACGTGAATGCGGCAAACTGGGACTATGTCACAAATTAAGAGAAAGCATTTGTTTGACGGTGGCGGCCGATGACAAATATTTCCACTCTTTCAGTTAGCGATCATTTTTGTCAACGCCATAACTTCAGCTGGCGTTTGCACGGGAGCCTTCGCCGATGAATGGCGTATAATGGCAACTAATGTTGAATGTTTGGCCCCGAACCTAAACTAATACACCGGCACTCTTTAAGAGTGACGAACAGCTCCTAAGTGGCCAAACACTTGAAGCAATGGTCAACAACCCTTTTTCACATTGTTGCAGGATGCCGCATAGAAAGCATACATAAATGTTTTTACATGTGCGCGTCTTACCCAAGATCACAGAATAGCATATGACTTCACAGCTCTATGCATTAATCCTCGCCCTGATAATAGGAGGACGATGCGCCCCCCCCCCCCCAAAAAAAAAAAGCTTGTGAGAAGATCTCTCTGAAACGTGTCGAATGTTTTCGGCATCCTTTGGATATTCGCTGTGTTTGTTTGACGTCTAAATGTTCCTCTGTTAATCTGGTTTCTGAAAAGCATAGTTTTTGTGGGAATAGTGCACGGTGATCCACGGCTGGCGCGGGCGCGTGGTGACAACCCGACGGATCCTCGGTGGACGCAGGCGGGTGGTGACAACCAAGGGATCCTCGGTGGCGCGGGCGAGTGGTGACAACCGACGGACCATGGGTGACGCAGGCGGGTTGGTGACAACCGAGGGATCCTCGTGGCGCGGGCGAGTGGCGACAACCGACGGGTCCTCCGTGGCGCACAGCGGCCGACAATGCCTTTCGTAACTTCCAAATGCCGTTGCATACAGATACATAGGTTAGTTCTTGAAAAACTGGTGGTACGTTTAAATTGTAAGCAACGACATGAATAGACGGGCATTGCCAACCGGGACTTGGGGGCGCGGGTTCCATGCTTATTACATCAAACGGACGCAGTGCCCACTTAAATACCTTCGAAAGCCGACTAGTCGATCGCACGATCTAACAACGAATTGCAATGGACGGACAACAAACTCCCCACATGGTAAAATCTTTGCACGATTATGGTGACTGAGTCGAGTCGCCCATGTCGGGCTTCTGACACCGAACCTTCCGATAAGTTCTAGCAGGACCCCTGGAGCCAGTGTTGCTTGAACGTCACACAGCTAAAAAGACTCAATCTGATCAGTTACATGCATCCGCCAGAAATCCTGATCCAGATTATTGCAGATTTTGGTTGGCGGTGTACTCGGTACTGTCGGCCCGCCCGACCAGCCGTCCCACCCAGCCAGCCGTCCCACCCAGCCAGCCGTCCCGCCCAGCCAGCCGGCCCACCCAGCCAGCCGTCCCACCCAGCCGTCCTCCCGCCCAGCCAGCCGGCCCACCCAGCCAGCCGGCCCACCCAGCCAGCCGGCCCACCCAGCCAGCCGTCCCGCCCAGCCAGCCGGCCCACCCAGCCAGCCGTCCCGCCCAGCCACCGGCCCACCCAGCCAGCCGTCCCACCCAGCCAGCCGTCCCGCCCAGCCAGCCGTCCCACCCAGCCAGCCGGCCCACCCCAGCCCCGTCCCGCCAGCCAGCCCCCCACCCAGCCAGCCGTCCCCCACCCAGCCAGCCCCCACCCAGCCACCGGCCCGCCCAGCCAGCCGGCCCACCCAGCCAGCCGTCCCACCCAGCCAGCCGTCCCGCCCCAGCCAGCCGTCCCACCCAGCCAGCCGGCCCACCCAGCCAGCCGTCCCGCCCAGCCAGCCGGCCCACCCAGCCAGCCGTCCCGCCCAGCCAGCCGGCCCACCCAGCCAGCCTGGCCCGCCCACCACCGCCCACCCAGCCAGCCGTCCCACCCGCCAGCCGTCCCGCCCAGCCAGCCGTCCCACCCAGCCAGCCGGCCCACCCCCAGCCGTCCCGCCCAGCCAGCCGCCCCCCAGCCAGCCGTCCCGCCCGCCAGCCGGCCCACCCGCCAGCCGGCCCGCCCAGCCAGCCGGCCCACCCAGCCAGCCCTCCCCCAGCCAGCCGGCCCACCCACCCAGCCGCCTCCCGCCCAGCCGGCCCCCACCCAGCCAGCCGTCCCACGCCATCCCGGCCCCCCAGCCAGCCGTCCCACCCAGCCAGCCGGCCCACCCAGCCAGCCGTCCCACCCAGCCACCGCCCCGCCCAGCCAGCCGTCCCACCCAGCCAGCCGTCCCACCCAGCCAGCCGTCCCACCCAGCCAGCCGGCCCGCTGACCGGCCCCTCCGCGTCCCTGAATGGGTGCGAAACACTCCTCCTACCCACAAGCACAAAAACTCCCCTCAAACTCGCTCCCCACCCCCGAGATCCCAGCGGGCGACCGGTTAGCGGAACACCGTGGTTACCGGGAACCCAAACGCGACCAATGTTTTTAACCAGAGAAATGTGAATGGAGGGCACAAATTCCATGCCATCAGGGCACAAACTTCCGACAGAGAGCAGACCAACTTCCCCAAGTGGCCCAACAGCCATTCGGCTAGCGCGCGCCTCGACGGGGTCAATCAAACCCCGAAAATGTTTGCATAATAATTTATGAACGGCACGGCGTGTCTGCACCAAACTTCGCATAGCTGCAGACAACTGAATAGCGAATATATCGGGATAAGAATTACATGTACCCTGTAGGTCGCTGATCCATGGCAGATCAAAGTCAGGCCGTGGCAAGGTTCAAGTCAAGGTTGGCTAGTCAGACTGCAACGAATGTAATCTCTAGGACATTGTTTAATCTGGTGCGACACCTGAGTGTTACACTAAGCGCTGTGCCTCTGAGACAGTTTCTTGGGATATAAAGCAAATGTATTACGCATTTCAACAAACTACATTGGTCAAGAGTCAGGTACGAAGGCTAGACGGAGGTCAAAACCAAGTTTTTTTTTACCGGAGAGCTTACTTCATGGTTACGTCTCTGACGCTCATTTCGAATTTCTTGATAACAGGGACCACAGCAGACTTCTTCCATAAGCTTCGCAACGGTCAGAGTAGGTCACTGACCTCAAACGACCCAGATCAACCTTTTCTTTGTAAAATAAAGTAAAAAATCGAAACAGTTTTGCAGGATTTAGGATAACCAGAGCGTTCTTAAGATTAAACGAGGTATCTGACCTAAAACTAACACCAATAACCCTTTGGTTAGAACAGGTATCTAGGTTTAACGCGGGCCCATGAGTAGGTCTGTAGACACGTTAGAAACCAATCTTGAGTTTGACCTTGTTTAACGTTAATGGACCCAAATGTCGTGGACTGTGAATATCGCATTTTAACAAAGGTAAGTTCACAGACTGAAAGTTTGGCATCTCTTGAGTTTGGCATCGTTTGGCATGGAGTTTGGCATGGAGCATCCATGACAACGCCCACCCTGTGAGTTTTGCATCTCTGGCTCTATTAGTTTTTTGAGACATTAGGGTTCGGGGGCACACTGACCCCAAACCAAACGAAGGGTATTCAACTGGCCACCCGGACGGGTGTTTAAAGGGTCGAGCATGTTTCGCCATCATACGCAGTTGTCATTTGTGCAGCAGCTTTGTGCGCCGTTGGGGATGGTGGCAGTTGTGTCTAGGGACACTTCGAGTGCAGTGTTCGTTTCTGCTTGGCGAGGAATAAGTTGTTATTCACAACAGATTCAAGAGCTTCCATAAAAGGCATCACCCTAACAAATACGAGCAATCATGTTTTCACACCCCCTGGGAGCAGCCTGGAAACTGAATCACCCAAATGAGCTAAATGATGAACCGTGTGACATCTCGAAAAAGATGCTGGGCCTTCAGACACTGCAACCCTGATTTGACGAAGATCTGCACGACTCACCACGCACCAAAATGAAAAATTTCCGCTGTCCATCCCCAAACCCAAATGAGTTTCAACTTTCTTAGCATGGAACCACACCACCACCTAAATTTGGTTGCTTTTACGCATTTCACGCCAACAAATCATAAATATTTAGCCCAGAGTTTCAACCAGTCAGAGTCCTTTAATAATAATTGGTCCTATGTTTCCGAGAGAGGCTGAGTTCATATGACTCAACTTAGCTGAATTTGGAGCTAGCTGAGATGGCCAAAAGTTGTTCTGAAGGGAATCAACAGCAATATGTATCGGCAACAAATTCATGGTTGCGTTGAAAAAAACACTTGAGGTCGTCGGCAGGTAGTAGTCCACCCACTACATACCGGTAGCTTTATTTTAAATGGGAAGTACGCCGATGTCAGTCAATCTGGGCACTCATGGCAAGCATTCAAGATCGAGGGCATTCCATAGACTAACCATTGAAACGTTGTGCAGCACCATTCCTTCCTCAATGCCCATTCTGAGCAGCATGATGACTTCCTCCACTTTTCTCGGAAACGCGCCATACCTGAAATGTTAAAAGGTGCAGCAACGCGTCAAGTTTGATATCAAGGTCGTAACCGTAGCTCGGCTTCGCGGTAGGAATAGATCGACCCGCATAATCAGGCTCCAAAAACTTACTTCAATAAATCTCTATTGATTGCTCTTTGCGTAGCAGGGAAAAAAGATGCTTTACACACGATGGATTCGTGCTTGATGCTTTCACGGTGGGTACGAGTCGCGGACTACTCGGTGATGTCTCTAGGTCCATTAGCTTATGCCCAGACTGAGTTGATATTGACAACCACCCAAGGTGTTAACAGTCCCGGTCAGAAAGGCAATATCGCACGATAAGAATGCGGTTGTTTTGCAGCGCCTGTTCCTTACACATTCCTGCACGCTTCCTGAGGCCAGGCCGAGTGAGGAAATGCCACATAAAACTCAAACGTTACCGTTTCTTCTAACATTTTTGAGAACAGCATATTACGACCATCGAGACATGAGGGTCACGGCTCCCGTGGTACCAGGCACAGCGGCGCAGCTAGAGGGGAGGGGAAGGGGCCACTGTGGGTCCGCTCGCTATCAGGCCCGCGTCTATTTTACGTTTTCACCATGAACTGCTCCAGCGGTTATTTTGTGATGAGCGGTCACCGTGTTACGTGGCTCCTCTAAGTGCAATTTTGGCAGTGGCCCAACCTAGGCTCAAATCTGCTAGTGTAGCTGTTCGGTGCTCTGGAAATTGATTCATCTTTCAACCTGTAGTAGGTCAAAAACAGGCCATCCTTATCAGTCAATGTAATTATTATGGAATCTTTCAGTTTGATGTGATATCGGAGTGTAAGACGGAGTTATAACCTTCAAGATGGTTTCGTCGACGCTAAGACGATTCGAAATAGGATTTCGACTAGTTCCACTGGCCTTGGTTCAGATACAACGGTCAGATAAAGATCTATACCAAATAGGTTTCTACTGGAAAACTGATTTGAGGAAGTGCTCCATGTTCGATTCGAGTTCTTAGGCAACACTGGTGTCAACAGGCTTATTAATTGGATTTCATGACGGCCAAGGGAGAACATTGACCTTAACGCGACGTCGGTCAAACTTTTGCTTTTGGGAACATGCAGCCTGAGGAAGCTCTTTACCCAGATTTTGAGGTCAAATTTCAAAATTTTCCCAAATGATTTTGGTCATTTCAACGTTTGAAAAGTCACAACGGGACCGACCTGATATAACCTCGACTGACCTTTTGTTTAGAAAAGGTGTCTTGATTAAAACAGGTTGTGTGAGGTCTGAGGTCACTCAGGATACCGATCTCTATTTTGACATGGTTTACCTTATTGGACATGAAGGCACGATCGAGAGACATGACGAGTCGACACAGATAAATTCCCATGAAGCCGTGTCTAATACTTACCCTATGAATTTGATCTTTCCAGCTTTGTTGGTTTTTGGTAGCTCAGGGGGTCAAATTGACTTTCCTTTCCAACCGAGCGCGTCGCATTCAATGGGCCACCCGGCTCACGTGCTAAAGCATACCACACCTGTCATTTGCGAATGTTGTCTACTATGCCGGGTAGACAGGTAGACAGGTTGTCTACCATGCCTGGTAGATGTCTACAATACCAGCCGTGATGCGTTCTACTGCTACAGGCTGGACTACGGGCTGACATGTGTACGAGCGGGCCGGCATATTTCACGTTCAGGATAGTGATCATACCGGTGTCGCCGCAACTCTTCTGCATTTAATAACCAATTTTACGAATTGAATTCCACTGCAAATTACTCACTGAAAATACCCACCACCGCAAAATTATTCTCGTTACCGAGGAGTGGACCGCACCCGTACCTTTGTGCGTGCCATGCTTACCTTTTTAGAAGGTTGCGATAGTCTTGCTCGTTTTTAAAAGGCATGTGTTTTATCACTTTGCTCAGAGCTTTTCCGACGCTGTATAGATATGTTGATGGGAAGAGGTATCTGAAATCGAACCAATTCTGGATGCAGTGCTTGCCAGTACCGTCAGGGTATTCAGACAAACGAGAAAGCACCGGTATGCGGCAAATGGAGGTGTCTTGGACGAAAACCTTCACACAAGCTCATGCAATGTTTAAATGCATTCGCAATGCTTTGATAAAAAACTGCAGAGATATCCCCCACACATAGACACATTCCTTGTTCCATTCTTCTGCTCTCAGCGCTTTTCAACTACATCATTTAGCAGCCATGTATAGCCCTGTTTCGGGATTGCACAGGGCTGGTCGCACCAACAAACATACACACCACACCAGAGCCAAGTCTGGGTGCACAGCTCCCGTGGCTCACCCTTTGTACGTTTCTCCGTCTACGAAGGCGACTAAGTTGTCCCTCAGTACGGTGGCGCTGACCCTGGTGTGGTAGCTGAGGTCGTCCTTCAACAGCTTCGACACCTCAGTCAGATACGACTGCATCTGCGTCAGCCTGGAACGGTGCGCCGACATCGACGCGGAAGTCAGCCGGTCGTCGTAGCTGTGGTTGCCAACCTGCCGACGGGGAGTCAACGTGGTCAGCAAAAAGGGCATCAAGGGTGACACAAAACACAAGACAGATGTTGAGCCCCCACCCGCGTATATATTACCCATGCACAAACGAGCCCATATTTGGTGTGCAAAGATAAACCGCATCTCTCCAGAATTTCGTCACACACACACACACACACACACCACACACACACACACACACACACAACACACACACACACACACACACACACACACACACACACACACACACACACACACACACACACACACACCACACAACACAACACACACACACACACACACACACACACACACACACACACACACACACACACACACACACACACACACACACACACACACACACACACACACACACACACACACACACACACACACACACACACACACACACACACACCACACACACACACACACACACACACACACACACACACACAAGACATCATGCTGGGTATGTATACAGTTGGTAGACTGTGCTACTCTTTATCTACTCGACATAAGCAAGAACAGCCATGTGATGCTGCTTGTTTTGCCATCATGAGTGTTAAGTTCTCGTAAAGAAACTAATCCACCTTTGTCATGCGGGGAGTGCTGACCAAGGCACCACCATTCGCATGTTTCAGGTGTGTCTTCTTTTGGTTGGTGAAGTGCTTCTGCACTTTGTCAGGTGCAGTATATTCCAGTGCGATGATCCAAAGCTATGGAAGCACTCCCTCATCGCTCCCATTTCGACATCCGGTGATCCTTCTCATCTTGCCAATCCGTCATATCTCCATTGTTCCAGTCATCGCCTAAATTGTAGTGCTCGCCTTCTACCAGCAGCTTTACAATCATCCTTCCGAAAGCCGCCTCTTCTTTCCTGACTAGCACGGCCCACGTCCACGTCACTTGACGGAAACTGCACTGACTTCCTCACCGCACCGTCGTTACCGCAAGGGAACAGGGAGAGATGTTCGACGGGGCGCAAAGTTTCCCTGAGAACATCCTTCCGACATGTCGTGCAGACGCGCTCAAATTTACGCCGGCCTAATGAGTACTCACTGCGCGTGTTTGCGCGCCAAAAACGTACCCAGCATTTCTGGCATCCGAGCAGTGATGGTATTGTAGGAACACTGCTCGGCAGTTCACCGTTGGCGCAGGCAGCGGGTGGCAACCGGAGAGCCAGCCGATCGTGCGTGACAGCCAACATTGTCACATTGGCGGGCTCCTACAGTGAGGTCTTTAGCTGAAAACGTTAAATGCATTTCAATGCACTCAGGATAAAATCATGAACACGCCTGTGTAAGCTTTATGTCGCTACATTGCACGCTTCCGTAAATAATGGCATGTAAACGTGAAAAGTGCGATTTTCGGGGAAAGTTGAGCTTAGACCTAGCATAACAGGGTCGGTGTTTTACCTAGTAGCATGCGATTTATTACCAAACGTGAGATTGCATTGAGACCGATACACCGGTCTTTTCCGCGAGACTCTAGTGTTCTTAATTTAGATACTGTAGAGGGTTCGCATCTCCCCTATCAATCCCCGTCATGAAAAGGCGAATCAGGGCGAGGGTACACCCTCTGCTGGCAGCGCTGTTCGTGGATGGTTGAGCGCCATACCGTGGCGACGCCTCCGACAGGGAGCTACGGAATTTAAATGCTTGCTAGACCGCCTTTCTTTCCTCATTGTCACTTTATTCTGTATCCTCGCGACACTTTTTGCTGGGTCGATCCTGGGGTAGCTGCACACACCGGCCATGAGTGGGCTAAGTGTCCCGGCGTGGGACCCGTCCGAGCGCCCAGCACATTTCCCGAAGGAGGGCATGCAAGCAATATCTGATCGGTAGACTCTCAAGTGCATACAGCTTTGCCATAGGCTCCGTCTGCCTTTCCTCACCCCATAACACTGAAATGGCCGCTACTGGCCGAAAAGCCCCAGATATCCTGAAGCAGTCGAGAGCTAGATATGATCATAAAGGTCAACATGTAGCATAGGTCATTTTTGGGTATACGTCCAGCAACCCATCAGGTGGCTTTGGAACTCGGCATAACCTGCAATCTTAAAGGGAGCGTTTTTCATTTGTAGAGGGGGGGGGGGCTAACTGAATTAGCCAGTTTAACATAATTTGGTGCCGCCCACATTCCTGGCCTTCTTGAGACGCAAATATCTCTGTTTTTTAGGGACGACCGCGAAGTTGTGCAGACAATTTCACGTGGACTATTTCAAGGTCGCCCAGGCAAGTATGACATCATACAGACATCACTTAAATGCCGTCACCTCATTGGCCATGCGGCGTTCAAGATCACGTCAAATAAAGTCGTCGATTTATTTGTGTCTTGCGTGCGTGAGCATGATCCCTGAAAGCACCGGACTTCAATCTTCGGTTCGATGCCAACATTATGCGTTTAGTGCAAGCCTACTCGTGGCTGACGCGTGCCGCCTGCCCGGGTAAGCGAGGCGCCGCGAAGAGCGCAAGATCAAGGGCGTACAAGCTGTCCTTTTATCGTCCAGGGTGTTACCGGACAACGACCCAGGGGTGTGGGCATCAAGGCAGCAAGTGCACACCAACAAGCCCGATACCAGTTTGCATGCGCACCTCCAGCGACCAAACCCGGTTTCTGCTGCGCAAGCGGCGTGGCCTTGGACGGGAGCCAGGTGCTCGGCGGCCGGCGCGCGGCTCGCTTTCACCGGGTTACTCAGGCCGAGGAGAAACGCGGGTGCTGTGGGTGTGGACTCGGACATCCCGCCGTGTTCGACGATCGCAGCCAGGTGGAGTTAGACATAGAGCAGACGTCAATGTAGCCAAGCCTGCATTTGTGTGTGGTGTGTTGAGTATAAATACATATTGCTGGTGTTCCTCGTTATGCGTGGCAAACTACGCCTACGCTTATTTATGAGCGCATCCAAGCATACCAATATATTCGCATTCACGGGTAGCGGTTTGGCCGTGTATCAAAACATTAATAAATAACGCTAACACAAGTTGAATTATAATGTCAGACCCCGTGTCCGATCCCAACCCATCCGATCATCTCGTGCGCATCGCTTCCACGCACATCCCTCCAAAGTGGACCACTCCATACAACCCTCGCAGCGAGTTCGAAGCTGTCCTCAACTTCATCGTCAAATCGCCCACGCCATTTGCATCGTGACCCTGCGGTGGTGCAGAGAGTGCAGTCACACCATGCCCGTTACACAGCACGAGCGCGGCGGCGAGCTCCCCGCGCTCACCGCGGCGGCGAGCTCCTCGCGCTCACCACGGTGGCGAACTCCGGGTTGTCCTGCATCCGCCAGTCGAAGTATCTGTCGAACAGCTCTCGGGCGGCACCATCGCCGTCGGTGGCAGCGCGTGCCGGGCCGGCCAGGAGAATCACCGCCACCACAGCGGAGGTCCACGGCACAACCATGTCGAGAGCACGCGAGGCGCACTGTCGGCCGTGCCGGGCCCGTCCAGCGAGGTTCGGCCGGCTGCCGCTGGCGGCGCCACCGGCGTCTGCCCCCGCCGGTGGAATGACCTGACGCACGTGACGCCGCAGTGCTGTACCGTTAGGAGAGTCGCAACCCGCGCTCTCGGCGATCTGTGGCTTGGTTATTTGGGTTGGAGCCCTTTCGACTAACATTGATCATCTCAGGGGTACGGGATGAAGGAGACTGGGTAACGATGGGGCAGGACTGCATGCGCCGGGGGGCCAACCACCGAGCTTAGCCCGTGCAGAGACCCTCCACGGGGTATGCGCTGGGCGCTCGGTTGGGTCTCCCTCCAGTGAGCCTCTCGGCCCAGTTGGGGCTGGCGCTGCAGCCCGCCCCGGACAAACGGGGCGTCGGGAGGATGCAGGATGAAACAAAAAGATAAGCGGGGTCGAAAGGTGCGCTGTGATTTTGACGTCAAAAGTGAAACCGATTTGGTGACGCGCTCCTGAGCATAGGGTATGACACCATAGACTGAACGACCGAAAGAGCATGACATTCACATCGTCTTGCAATGTTGCGGCGAGGCAAAGAACATGACATGCACCGAGCGAGTGTGAAAGCACGGAATCTCTGCTGCCTTAATGCTTCAGCCCGCCATTCTGTTGATGCACAAACCGCGCACGCCATGCATCACACCATAACATCACATCATGACATCACATCATCATCACATCACACACCGTGCGACCACGCATCTCTTCACAACCGAATCCCGAGAGCGCTCCCCCACTCGCGCTGCCAGTGGAAAAACATCGTTTTGTGACGGCGTTAGCGGGCTTTGACAGGTGGAGCGCCTGAGGGATGACGGGTCGCTGTCGCTTCTTCGTGTCGAACGGCCTGGCGAATGAGGTTTGCTCACTCCGTCAGTGCGTTCACTCTGTCATGTACAAGTACAAGTAGATACAATAAGGTGAAAGTAATTTGGCACCAGGAATGTGTACATTTTTATTAACGGCGTCACATGGGTGTATTTAGCATATAAGGTACAATTATAAGCGGAACAAATCACGTACGAAGCGCGCAAATGCCGGCAGTTGCAACCCCAAGCAAACAACTCGCGCCAAAATGGCCGGCTGGCGCCGTTCCCAACAGCGCGTGGCCTTCGCTCATCACAGCTATGTCGACGCTTCAGGCGCCATGAGAAGGACACTCATTTTTACGATCCCGTCATCACTTGTCGTCCATCTGGTCCTGCGGCCAACTGGGTACCCTTATGACTCGTCGGGTCCGCACCAGGCTGCCGCCGCACCTCTGACCTGACCTGACCAGACCCGTGACCGCACCAAGCCGCCCCGTCCCGCATCTGGACCACCTCTGAGCCGACCCCTGAGGTCGCGCCACCTGTTACCTCGTCACGCGCCTCTACAGCGTGACGGCGTGCGCGTGCCGCGGCAGGTGAGGGTCAGCAGCCGGCCGGTCCGATGTCGCCCGGGCCCCCTCGTCGCTGGCCGGCCGCGCCGCACCGCCCCCCGCCGGCCGAATGCTGCAGCTCAGCCGGAAGCGGCGGCCGCCTTCAGATGTCGCCGGCGGCGGACGGCTCGACTCTGGCTGCGGAGGCTCCTGCTGCAGCGACTGAAGCCGCGGAAATACAGTCCGTCTGGTCGGCCCGCCGGTGCCGGCACTGGTTGACTTTTTGACTGCGGAGAGTCGAGGGTGGCGGGTTAGCAGACCGCGGATCGCCGGTGCTCGTGACAACGCGCCGATCCGACCCGACCCGACCCGAACCATCCCGACCCGACCCGACCCGACCCGACCAGACCCGACTCGACCCGACCCGACCCGATCCGACCCGCCGCGACGCGGCGCGACACGACGCGACGCGACCCGACCCGACCCGACACGACCCGACCCGACCCGACCCGACCCGACCCGACCCGACTAGGCCCGACCCGACCCGATCCGACCCGCCGCGACGCGACGCGATGCAACCCGACCCGACTCAACCCGACCCGACCCGAGTGAGACCATTTGGACCTTCTGATTTGTTCTTGATCTTATTCAGCATACATACCACAATGTGTAGGCGAATGACGTTCGGTCACGTTTGAAATGTTAAAACATCAAATGCCAACGACTAGGCTTGATCTGCCCCAAATTAGATGTTATTGGGATACATTGCACCTATTCAGGCAAGGATTTCCAGCCACCAGAGCCCGAAACGGTTGGTCTGCGTATTATAGCGGTGAAAATTGGCAGTAAACGGAATTTTTACCCCAAATCCCTTTTCATAAGACCTACATACAGCTTTTACCTAAGTTTGCCCTACTCGACCTTGGCCTTACCGGACTCGGTTACCTTACTTTGTGTTACTTTGTCCTGCATGCACGCGTTTCATATGGCACGCACAATCACATGGGACTGCAATGCGTATAACTTCGTGCACAGGACGCATCAATTTTAATAAATGATAAGAAGCCAAGTGGAGAGCCAGGCGACCTCCCCCCTCATTTGCATTTCATAACGGACTTAGCCCAGTTTATATGAACAAACAATATTGTTTATTTCAGATGTTCGGATCACTTCTCAAACGGATCGTAATTTGGGCGACAAAGCAGTCATGCCAGTGAATAATGCCCGATTAAGATAGGCTTTATGTGACAATAATTTTTCTCTACATTTTTGTAACGTTCCAGCAAAGAAAATGTAGAAATAACTTTATTCTGATGGTCTAACTTAACATGGAAGCAGAGCCCGCGAACACCAAAACAAAAATAAAAAGTATTTCGACACAATTGTGCAGAGAACACAGCCATGACAAGCGCTACATCACGGGGCGCACACCCCGCCGTCACCCAGCCGCGGCCCCAGCGTCAGTGGCCTGGCCAGCGGCCTATGCGGCCCCAGCGTCAGTGACCTGGCCAGCGGCCTATGCAGCCCCAGCGTCAGTGACCTGGCCAGCGGCCTATGCAGCCCCAGCGTCAGTGACCTGGCCAGCGGCTTATGCAGCCCCAGCGTCAGTGACCTGGCCAGCGGCCTATGCGGCCCCAGCGTCAGTGACCTGGCCAGCGACCTATGCGGCCCCAGCGTCAGTGACCTGGCCAGCGGCCTGACGCGGCCCCAGCGTCAGTGACCTGGTCAGCGGCCTGACGCCGCCGTCCTCGGCGCCCCTCACTGTAGGCCACGCAGGGGACGCCGGTGTAGGCGTGTGCGGCGTGGTGGCAGCGGTAGGTGCTCTGGTGGCAGTGGAGCGCGTCCGGCCCCGCCCGGCCGGACCGCTGACTCCGGCTGACGTGCGCCAAGTCGTCCGCGGCCCGGCGCCGGACCGGTCCGGCCCGGCCCGGGCTCTGCACCTGCCGCAGCTGGTCTGCGGCGAGGGGGGCAGCCGGGTCAGCACGGGAAGGGGGGGACGACAGAGAGTGATGGCACTGGTGACGGCTGATGGAACTCGGACGGCACGGCCACTCCGCCAGTGCAGGGCGGAGGGAGGGATGTGGGCGTGGTGTCACCGGTGGGCTGTCGGACGGCCCGGCCACTCCGCTAGTGCAGGGCGGAGGGAGGGATGTGGGCGTGGCGCAACTGGTGGGCTGGACGAGCCGTAACAGCCAGAGGCAGCTCGGAATAAAACGGCTTTTGGGGCCGAGCAAAAATGTGTGTCGAGAAATGTGAGTTGACGGCTTTTATGTTGAGCTAACAACCTTAAATAGACCATGAGGCACTGGTTCACCCGGCGCTGTCATGCTAAAAAACAAATTCATGGACGATTTTCAATATTTTGAGCTGTGCTCACTCTCAAGATAAACCAATAGTCAAAAAAATCGGCAGAATATTACGTTAAAAAACTCGTGAATCCAGAAAGTGCTCCCAATCAGCGCAGACAATGTTACTAATAGAAGCCAAAAAATGTAAGTCAACCAAGCTCTCAGTATCACACACACAGCTCAACGTCAAAGGCTGCAAAAAATAGCACCGCGGGTGGTTAAGCCCAAAGTCATACCGCCTGTGTTGTTATATTTTGTAGTCTTTTGCCTTTAACTGTATACGGGGTGCTGGGGGATTGAATGACTGATCCTTTTAGAGTTAGTTTAGTGACTTAATGTGATTTTTTATGTTTTTACTTAGTAACTTTTCATCAGTTGAAAGCCTAGAACTTTCAGCTCACAATGCCGAGGAACCAAGAGCTGAAGGCCCTTCCTTCTTACATCAAGCGTCGATATATACAGACATGGCATCCCACCCGCAGCCCTAGACAAACTGGGTGTTTAAACACATTTCGCGCATCCTACTCCCGGACGTGAGCTACTGCCTCTTTACGGGAGGAATGGACAAAACTTGGCATAAAACTCACCTACAATGCCATGGACATGCCTTTGGACGGTATACCCCTAAAGGTGTATGCTCTACAGTGTTCACATACGGTACGGACCATTCAGGTACTGCTCGTAGTCGTTGTAGGTATGTGGACCGGTGTAACGCTCCAGGTGCCACTTGATGACGCTCAGGTTAAAGCTATCAGAGAGTCGCTTGACGAACGCCTTAGAATTGGCTTTCCTGGTGCGCATCTGGACCCGCTTCAGCTCGAGGAGGTCTTGGAGAATCCTCCTCTCCGCCTGGAACCTGTGCCGCGAAAAAGTGGTCGCGGATTGAAACCCCAGCAGCGGCTGAGTCTCGATGGCCTCTGTCCTGGCCGGCTCGTGAGATTATGACAGCGACGTCGGGTGGTGCAGGCGTCGTAAAACCCCTAACGATCATGGGGAGATGAAACCCAACGATTCAGTCAGACGTCGACGCAGCGAGCAGGGTCTTTCAGAGCAACACTGCGGCGCGGGTGTCAAGACCGTGACCACACCGCAGCCATCAGCGCGAGCGTCACGCCACACGAGAGAGGCTCAGCGGCCTCGCGCCTTCACGGACCGGGGAGAGTCACGGCTGAGAGCGGGCGGAGCTCACGAGCGCTCACCTGAGCGGGCTGGCGGCGGCTCGCGAGCTCCGCGACTGCGGGCTCCTGTCCAGTCGGACGAGGTCTCTCTCC